TTCAACTCCTCAGCCTTCTTCTCTTCTTCTGCGGCTCTCATCTCCTCTGCCTTCTTCCATTCTGCCGCTCTCATCTCCTCAGCCTTCTTCTCCTGTGCTTTCTTCTGATCCTCTTGTACTTTCATCTCCTTGGCTCTCAACTCCTTTGCTTTCTGCTTCTCTTGTGCCTCCTTTCCTTTCTTTTGTTCTCCTGCTTTCATCTCCTCTTTCTGCTTTTGGTTCTCCACATCCACTGGCTCGTCGTCTTCAAACATTTCTTCTTCCTCCTCCTCTTCAATCACTATCTCGGTCTCGCTGTCAGAGGCTTCCTGGACTTTCGCGGTCGCCTGATTAAGTTGAAAAGTATATGTCTCAGGGTTTATCGATCGATTGTTTATATAAGTAAAATGATTCCTCAATGTTCAATGGAAATGTTTTGCATGAATTTTGTGCATTTGATCGGGCCTGATCAGAAGCTTTGGGCGAAGCAACCTTTTCCTTCGCTTCCGGAATCGCAGACTGGCTGGCCTGATCAAGTTGCACTCATCATACTCATGTGCTCTGAAGAGTCCATGCCTGGTCAACTTTTGCAGGCTGTCTCAGGGATTTAGTGCGCTTTGCAACCCCTGCCTTCTGCATGCGCATGTGTTAAATGCTGGGTGCCCCATACAAAATGTGCGGAGTCCATGGTAGGTCCTCGTATATCATGCTGACCAGTTTCTTCAACTTGGACATATTGTTGTCTTTCCGCCTGCGAAATTCTACCGAAAAGACGGGTCCAGAAGTGAATTCACTGATCAAGTAGTAGCCTGCAATTCGGGGTTTTCCCATGGCGTCGAATGATCTTCGAGGCCAAAGCCCTGTGTAGATTCCCTTCAGTCTCTGCCCACTCCTTGGTCAACCAGGTGTGGACACCAGTGAAGCTAGCTAGTTAACTTGGAATGTCAAAAAACATCACCTCAAAAGTAGATGGCGCAACCTTCAAAACCCCAAAACAATGCAAAGGTTGCGCCATCTACTTCATAGTCTTGGTCAGACGAATGGCTTCAACATCAGTGGTTTTAAGGTCCACCAACTTCCATTCCTCAGCCACTTCAATCAGTACCTCCTGGCAAGACAAAGATCCCTCATCAACTCGCCCGAACTTACTACTGGGAACGACATAACCACAAGTGTCAGGTCCTTGGTTTCTTTTTCAGTGGGAGCGTCCAGGGCAAAGCTCGATAGCCAATTGCAAGCGAAGTTCGTGTTTGTCTCCCTTTGAATCTGGCACGCAGTGAGAGGCTATTAAAATAGAAAGCACAATCGGCAAAAAATCAGCCAGACTGACCGTGTCTTCGTTCAGGTTGGGTTTTTTTCGCGTCGATGTCCAAGAAGGAAAAGGTCACAGCAGGGACCTGGTGAAAGATGCACCCCAAAGATCACACACAGTGTGAAGTGTGAAGTCATGTTGCTTTTCAGGTGAAGTGCACACATATCAGGTTTATTCAGGTTTTGACCAAGCCACTGTACCCTGTGACAAACACTTCTCGAGCTTGTGGGCTGGCAGCCCAGCTTTACGCCCAAGCTCAAGGAAGCGTTCTTCCCTGTATGTTGCATCATTCTGCAACAGCATCTCAGTGTACAACTCCTGCACAGGAGAAAAACGAAGACTAGTAGGGAAAGCCTTGGTAGTGATTTCTAGTGCAACCGCCCAGGCAACTGCCTCGGTTCAACCAAGTCCTTCAGGGTAGCCACACGTTCCGCACAAGGTCGCGAAGTTGGCATTGCGACGTGAGTGCTGGCTTTTGCGATCTGATCCATGACATGGAATGCATTAAGCACGACCTCACTACTGAACCCAGTGACCTTGAGTCCTAGATCATGGTGTCATGGAGCCCCAGCACACCCCTAAGTGCAAAGGACCCACCCTGACTTGATCCATGAACACCGCAAGAATCAGGATAGAGGTTGTGAGGAAGAGGACTCAGATGAAGGACCACAAAAAACAACAGCAGAGTTTCACCCAACTCCCATGCACCTTCCGGATAGGTCTGACCAGACCATGCGCCTGGGCCCACACACCAGGGAGAAGAGATCCCAGAAGGAAAAAGACAGTGAGCGAACTGAGCATTCGGCGTTTGCGAAGTGCCTTCTTCATGAAGGAAGTGCCTTCTTCATGAAGGCAGGTGGCAGCTTGAGCCGCCACCAGCTGAAGTTTGGGTGGGTTGAACCATGTACGAACTCATGTACATGACAAAGACTATGTTTTACTTTAGTAAAACTCGGCTCTGGACAAAGACCAAGTAAAACTTAGCCCTTGGAAGATAAGGGTATACTTTTGCAACAAGTACTTTTTAAACTGTCCCGTGCGTTTCGGC